CCCCCCCCCCCCATCTGAATCAAGACCAAGTGTTCCCCACCCCCCATCTCGGCTAGCTTGGGGGCAGGCCATGACCCTCCCCTTGCAGGGCCAAACCACAACCCTTTTCCCTGCAGAGCTAGGCCATGGCCCCTTCCTTCCTCAGGGCCAGGTGGGGCTGGGATGCCCACTTTTTCCCCCGCAAAGCCAAGCCATGCCCCCTTTCACTGTGAAGCTGGGCTGTACCCATCTTCCCCCCCAGCCAAACCACAACCACTATTTCTCTGTGGGGACAGGCCATGCCCCCTCTCTCACACGAGGCTGGGCCATGCCACATTCCTCTGTGGGGAGGGAGCAGGGGGAGCTGATGTTCAACCCATCCATGTGGTCCAAGGGTGTCCACTGCACCTGTGCTGTGCCAGATTGGGATCATCATTGGGATCTGGCCTACAGACAAATGGGACCCTGCCCTTCAGGCCTGTGGGAGAGGAAAAATGTGAGCATCATTGATACAGAGTGTATTCTCTAAAAAGTATCCATGTAATACAAACTTACGCTAAAAAAAAAACCTTCCATGATACTCTGAAGTCCTTATTGCAGCCATCTTATACTTTTTACCAGATATCAGACTACTTTTGCGTACATTTATATTTTGAGATGATAAAATATTTGCAAATTGAAAATACTTAAATATTCTGGCTTTTCTGGATTCTGCAATAGCTCATCTTAGTGTCCCGTCAGTACTGCCAGGCAGTTTTGCTGGGTAGACTGTGGTTGTTGTTTCTGTGGGTAGTGTGAGAAAACCAGTTGCTCCTTACTTGATGTGCATCACCACATTTTTCTCCAGTCTCTGATTCATGCCCTATAATCTCTGCGCTTTCTGTAACATATGAAGGGCACCAGTTAATTGGAAGGGCACTGTATCCAACAGCACAAGAGTGAAAGATGAGAAAGAAGGGTGTTTTATTTTTGGCATGTGGTGGGACATGAGGCAGGAGGAGAAATATAATAGCATGTTTAACAACAGTTTGATAAATTAACAGGTGTCTTGATGTCATGGCACTATATTCAATGTTTTACTATTAAATGGAAGAAATTCAAAATCTTCTAAACATAGAAACATGTGCTCAACTGGCTGCATTCCCACCCCACATCTAAAATGAGCACTTGAGAAGGCTGGAGTGGCATGTTACATTTGGGGGAGAAGCTGTCCTATATTGATTTGATTTGAAAATTATCTTTGAACTGAGATCTTTGGCCTCCTTCCATTTTCCTCAGTAATAAAATTAGTATATAAATAGATATTTAATTGGTACTTATTTACAGTATCACTTTTTAGTGCTGGCAGTGGTGTTAGTCTAAAATAGTATAGCATAATCAAAATAAAGTGCAACTATATATAGTGCTCTGTGCTTTCAACTCTTGTTGAAATCTGTTAGAATTGGGTGCTCAACACCATGTAGGAGGTGGTTAATATTTTTTCGTTAGGACTTTTGTCCATGTTAAGTATCCTGGCATTACATAAATTTGAGCTTTTGAATTTAATCCTGTTGCATTTGAAGCTTATGGAAGTTTTGCTCTTGACTTCAATGCATAGGTGACTGGTAGAGGGGTACAGGCGGGCACATGCGCCCCCCTGACAGGGCTGTCCCCGCCACCAACACCACTGACAGCATCTGCGGGTGCTCAACGTGCCCCGCCCCCTGACAGGGCTGTCCCAGCCACCAATGCTACTGGTGGTATCTGCGGGAGCTCACCGACACCACTGGCAGCATCCATGGATGCTCTCCAGTTCTGCTGCCAATGCCGCCGGCAGCATCTGTGGGTGGCCCCCCCCCCCCCCGGGCAGCACCCATGGTGCCCCCCCAGTTCTGCGCCCAATGCCCCCGGCACCACTTGGGGGGGGCCCCCCCCCCCCCCCAACTCAAGAGCCACCAGTTGCCCATGCTTCAATGGGAGCAAAAGCAGATCTTTGGTTTGGGATACATAGAAATTGTTGTACTTCATCATATGTAGCTTAATAAATTTTCATAGAGAAGTTTTACATATGTTGGCTTTTTGTACTAGTAAAGCTATATTTATTATAATTTATTTGTAATTGTGCAGCTGAAATGGGAGTTAGTACACTTATATCATAACTTAAGCTTTCAAGTGTTTGATGAGTAATACTTTCACAAAAACAAAGGCTACTTGTGTGAAGTGATGCACACCCACTTGTTTGCTAAGAGCTGCTGTTTTAAACAATGCCAGCCATGCCATGCTGTGTGCATCATCACTTAAAGGTTTTTCCTATTCTTAACATAAGCTAGTAAATAGTGATTATTTATGGGTGAGTGTGTCTCTAAAATATGCTGACTTGTTGCATCTGTACTTCCCCTTCCTGAGAAGTATTGCTTTGACTCTCCCACTCAGATTGACTTGCATACCTTTTTTTTTTGGTAATGGTATTTAAATGTCTTCCTGGAAATTTCTAGGGCTGTCAAGTGTAGGCAACTTTTTCTGCTTCTGGTGATCTTGTGTTTTCTCTCCCTTCTGGTATGCAGCAATTGGATCACTTTGTTGAAAAGCAGTAAATGTTTTTAGGAGCTTTTTTGTTTTTCTGAAAGAAGGAATTTTCCCACAAGTATAACATGTGGGTACACTTTATTCAGGATTTTCTGAGAGATTCCTTGATTTTTACCATCTAAAAAGATTAAAGGAAAAAAGTTGAAGCTTCTGTCATATGTATATTGTACATCATTCATACTTGTGTACTGCTATTTCCTGACTTCTGAGTGTTGTGCCTTGCAGCTTTGGCTGCCTTTTTTAAAACAGTTTATTTGTATTGATTAAAAATAATGTAATATAAGAAACTGGAAAATAATATCCATGTAACAAGTTAAAACTAATAAAACACTTAGTATTTGTGGACTTGTCATTAAAGAGAATACTATTTTGTAATATTTACCTGCTGATTTATTTAAAAAAAAAAGAAAAAAAAACTATAATAGTCAAACAATACTTGAAAATGTCAAGACAGAATAAGCTAAAAACAAAAATGTTTTGTAAGCATTACAAAAATGTATACTCATAAGCATACTCATAAAGAATAGTTCAGTCTACCAAGCTTCTTTTCTTTTAAACTTCCTGCTTCCATTTTCTTTTGTCAGCAGAGTTGCATCATGGGGTATTTGTGATTTATGGTGCCTCTGAGAGAGAGAGAGAGAGAGAGAGAGAGAGAGAGAGAGAGAGAGAGAGAGAGTGTACAAGGGCATTCACCACCATATCTACCACTGCATTTTCTGCCACCACAATCCCTACTTAAAAAACAAGAAAAAACTGTTTCTGCTAGATGCTATATCAGGGATAGGCAAAATATGGCCTGTGGGCTGGATCTGGCCTGCCAGGCCATTCTATCCAGCCCGTGGGGCCCCTAAAATTTTAGAAAATTAATATTTATCTGCCCCTGGCAGCCTGTCAAAGATGACAGGAGCCAGCGGCAGTAGGGCCCAGGGGGAGCCAGTGGCAGGGCTAAAGAGCCACAGCAGCAAGGCCCCCTCGCTCCAAGCTGAAGCCTCTGCCTAGCAGAGGTTTCTAGTCTGGGACCCTGGGGATGTTCCTGCCTTCCTGTGTTGGAGGGAAATTCGGATCGAGGGGTGGGAGGAGAAGGGGGAGGGAGGCAGGGAAAGACCTCATGCAATTGCCCCAGTCCTCAGGGCTGGCCGGCTCCTGTGGTTCTGGTGATATAGCCGGGAACCACAAGGTGCCAGAGCAGCTGGTGAGCGGACTGGAGGGAGCAGGAAAATGACTGCAGAAGGTGGGGGGAAGGGGCAGTGAGCGGGCACACAGGAGTGCAGCAATAGCCAGGCAGGAGTGTGGGGTCTGCACCAGAGCTCCAGGGCCAGCGCTGGTGGCTCCCAGAGTGGGGCGGCAGGAGCATGGGGCCTGGGCCAGCAAGAGCTCTGTGGAGTTGGGCTGGCTCCCCTCTCCCACTGGCACAGCCAGCCCGGTTCCATTGATCCCTGCTGGCCCCCACCAGCACGGTCCCCGTGCTCTTTCCCAGCTGTTGGTGCTCTCTGTGCGTCTGCTCACTGCCCCTTCCTCCCACTATCCACAGCCATTTCCCCACTGTCCTGCTCACTGATGCTGCCACTTCAGCACCACTTGGTTCCCGGCTGCAGTGCTGGACTGCAGGACTCAGCAGGAATCGCCCGCCCCCTGCCATTCTCAGCTGGCTCCGTGCGGTGCTTACCAGGCTGGTCCAATTCCTGCTGTGTCCTGTGGTCTCGGACATGCAGCTGGGATGTGGTGCCAGTAGCAGACAGGAGGGGAAGTGGCAGTAAGCAGGAGCATGGGGCCTGCACTGGTGCCTTGAGGCTGGGAGCAACAGGAATGCAGAGCCCTGGCTTGGAGGAGTGCTGGCAGGGTCTCTGCTTGCCATGGGGGTGGGCAGGCTATGTGCAAAACCTCCCCCTCAACACATGCCACAACCCTCCCCAGATCCACCTTACACCTCACACATCCACATGTACACCCCACGCCTACCAACCCTCCACACATGCACCTACCTCCTCCCCCACACCCCACCCACAATATACAAGAGTAAGACTTCATTTTAAGGTATTATACTATCA